CTTTTTTTTCTGTTTCTAGTTGCAAGCTAACCACCCCTCCCAGCAATCATACCCTTAACCCACAGTTATGACCTTACCAACCATACCCAATGTGAGTCTTGCCATAGAACTCTTATTTACTGGGTTCTTATCCTTCTTTCATAAGTGGAAGGAATGGATTCCTTCAGTGGGCAATTACCCTCATTATATTTAGTGCCATTGAAGGAAACTGTCCTGGACTTTGGTCAGGCTTCCCCAGCACCTTCCGTAAGTGACTCTAAGTGTGGCTCCTGCAGCCTAATGATGCGCCTGAAACTGGGGGAGGCAGGCAGGAAGACTTCCAAAGGCTCTGGGAGGGTTTTTCCCATGAGACAACCCTCATGAGATTGTACCCATGAGATTGGTACCTCCTCTGTGCAACATGAAAACAGGAATACTATTAAAAAGCATGTTCCAGCCAGGTGCAGTGGCTCACGCCTGTAATCCCAGCACTTTGGGAGGCCGAGGCGGGCAGATCACTTGAGGTCAGAAGTTCAAAACCTGCCTGACCAACATAGTGAAACCCCATCTCTACTAAAAGTACAAAAACAATTAGCTGGGCATGGTGGCACATACCTGTAGTCCCAGCTACTCTACTCAGGAGACTGAGGCAGGAGAACCACTTGAACCCAGCAGGTGGAGGTTGCAGTGAGCCAAGGTCGAGCCCCTGCACACCAGCCTGAGCGACAGAGCCAGACTCTGTTTCAAACAAACAAAAAAAAAATCATGTTCCTTTTGTCCCAGCTCTTTAGACGTGGCATTTTACAGTTAAACAAATTTTTAGGTGCATCTTTACTGGCAAAATTACCCAAAGATAAGATTATTTCTGACTCTGTGGTTTTTTTCACCTTTTTCTTTCCTGATTCCTACCACTCCTCACAGTTTCAATTCCTCTCTCCTACTTTGTTCTCCTTTCTGTTTCGAACATTTTGCTCCTAATTGCTTCAGATTTTTCTCCCTGTTCGGAAGTTTGTATATATGAAAATTAAGTATTTTAAAACACTTTCTGAAGGAAGTGGGAAATTCTCCAGAAGCACAGGAGAAGATTGTGAGGCTCTTCCGTTGGAATAAAAGCCCACGTTGGATGATGAAATTTTTCCACTAGCATGTCTTCCTCCTGTACATGCTTCACAGATGGTATTTTTTTTAAAACAGCAAACTATGCAGAAATATTTTAAATTAATAAATAAATCATTGATTATTATAGCCTCAATTCTCATAACTCAATAATACTATATTGATTTTCATGTGTTCAACACAACACGTGCCTTGTCACTTATATATTTACTTAAATATTTCACACTGTACCTGAAATATAGTAGGTATTCATTATTATTCTCCAAATGAATGAACACATGAATGAGTGAGTAAAGTTCCACAAAGCAAGGACCAGACGTTTCATATCACTGTAATACATAGACCTAGTAGGGCATAAAGTGGGCACCAACTGTTTGGAGTATAAAAGCTTTGCTATGTTCCTGTGTTTATGATCTCAATGAAATTCTTTTGTTAAATTTAGCACAGGTTGTCACAAATCAGCATTTGATCAAAGTGGTTGCCTTATACTGGTTCATCTATACTTTTGTTCTCTTCCCCACATCCAATTATTGGAGCTGTTAGCCTCAATCACTGAAAAGCAAGATTCTTTCATTGTCATTCCAGACTTACTCCTCATTTCTTAGTGAAAACTACTCTCTGTGACCTACATCTCCCTTAACTAAGCACTGAATTTCCCTATCTTTAGTCTTTCTTTTCTAATACAGATTTGAAGGGGATCAGAATGTGTCCCCCAAAATATGCTACTTCAGCATAAGTACTATTTTGACCTATTTTTGAGAAAGAATCTTCTGCCCTTCTCCTTTCTGCTTTAAGTGCTATAAATTTCCACTTGTAAAGGTGTTTTATTCCCCATCTTGGGTGACTAAGTCTCATGGTCCTCTTCTTGATATGAGAGATGAGTCTGCATAACAATCCTTAGCTATCATACATTCCTAGTTACCTTCCCACAATTCACCACTCTTAGGAGCCCATTCCCCTACTCTGCCCCCTTTGTCTAGTCACTTCTTCACAGTTTATTGCCCTTTGTTAAAATTGTATATAAACTCAGCATTCTTTTAGACTTCACATAGATAAGAGATAGTATAACCTGGTGTTTAAGAGTTTGGACTCTGGGATCAAATCTCAGTACCTCTACCACTTACCAAATGTATGACCTCAGGAGGATCACTTCACCTCTTGGGTCTTAAACTAAAATGGAGATAATAAATATATATATATCTTAGGGTTGATATAGGAATTAAGTGAATCAAGGCACTTAGAACTGTTGCTGGCACTCTGTGTTAGCAATTATTTACATTTTTTTATTTGCTCATTTTGTATACTCATAACAATATAATCATACTACTTATAATTTTCTGAGACTTTTCAAAGTCAATATTATGTTCTTGAAACTCATCCATATTGATGCGTACATCTGTAATTTATTAGTTTTTCTTTATAGTTAACACATCATGCATGTATGTCATACCTCTCTAAAGTAATTGTAAACTTTGGAGAGCAAGAACCATGTTTTCTATACTCTGTGCTTTCAAGAAGTTCATGGTGGCATTTGTGATTTGTTCTTTGAGATGGTTAGCTGTGTTTCTGAGATATCTAAATTGGAGAAGAGGAGACTGAGGGAAACTTCCTAAGGGTTATTGAGGTTTTATATGGAGCATGGTGACTTCTCATTCTCTATCCCCATTGAGGCTTCAATTAGGTAAATATCCTAAGCTTCCCTGTGAGAGATTTAGGTGTATAATTGTAACTGGATATTTACTGTGTACCATGTGCTGTGTCAGCTCCTTTACATAATTTACCCCACTTAATCCTCAAAACAAACCAAATGAGAAAGTATATTAGTTTTCTAGGACTGCTGTAACGAACTACCACAAACTGGGTGGCTTAAGCAACAGAAACTTACTGCATCACAGTTGTGGAGGCTAGAAGTCCAAGGTCAAGGCGTTGGCAGGATGGGTTCTTCTGAGGGAGGTGAGGGAGAATCTCTTGTAGACCTCTCCCCTAGCTCTTGGTGGTTTACTGGCAATCTTTGTTGTTCCTTGGCTTGTGGATCTCTGCCTTCATCTTCACATGCTATCCTCCCTGTATGTATGTCTTTGTCTACCTCTCTCCTTTTTAAGAGGAAATAAGTCATATTGGATTAAGGACCTATCCTCCTCCAACATGATATGAGTTTATCTTAACTAATTATATCTTCAAAGGCCCTATTTCTAAATAAGGTCACATTCTGAGGTACTGAGGGTTAGGACTTCAACATATGAATTCAATAGGGGTGACACAATTCCACCCACTTAAAATAATAAAATAGGCCTAGAGAGATTATGCTAACTTTTTGAAGTGGAATGGCTGAGAGCCCCCAGGTTCACATGGTAACCAGGTGGTTCTGAGGTAGGAGGTGAGGGAGGTAGTGCCGGTCCCCAAGAGCCACGGGGATGCTGCAGTGACCCAGACTGTGTGCAGTCACTCCCATAAAGTTATCCAGACAAGAGGTAACACAGTGAGCTCTGGAGTTAGTCAAATCTGCCACTCACTGGCTGCCTGATCTTAGGAAAGTTTTTCAAGTTCTCAGAGCCCCCATTGCTTCATCTGTAAAATGGGATAATAGCACCAACCTCATGAAGTTGTGGAGATTAAAGGACATGAGACAGTAGTTGAGAAATGTAGTGATTATCAAAATGGACACCCATCCTCTTATCCCAGCCACACAAAAGAGAGCTCTAGTCCACATCCAAATTTCCTATACCTCGGCCCATTTTAATTAATTTAATTTATGTAACTAAGTGCAACCCTTGGCCAGAAACATCATTCAAGTGGGGTGGTAGAAGGGTCAGAAAGGGGAGATGCAAAGGAGAGCTAGAGAAAAGGATAACTACAGCTCTCTGTCTCTCAGTGTGCCTCAAGGTGGGCATTATTGATATTTGGAAGGGGACAGTTCTTCCTGTAGAGCCACTGTTCCATGCATTACAGTAAGGTTGACATCCCTGGGCCCCTGAGTGCTAAGACATTAAATACCAGTAATAACTCCCAGTCATTGTGCCTCCCAAAACACCCCAGACATTTCCAAGCTCTCCTCTAAGAATGGTTGCAGCCCTGATTGACAACAATTGGTGATCCCAGCAGGACCCAAGCTGTACATTGTCTTTGGGAACTGCTGCAGCCACCAATGCAGGGATGAACTGACTGTTGCTGCTCAATTAACCCTCAGTGTCTGATTCCTGAATTCCTCTGGGCTGATCCCTTCTCACTGCTGGATTTCTCCAACCCTGTTGTCCATAGTCTCTTCTGGGAGAAAATGGTGCAATTTCAAGGTTGCAGTTACAGGAGGAAGGGACAGTTTCTCTAAGGTAACACTGGGAGTATCTTCAAAACCATGCAGTAAATAAAGTGCCAAAAATAAACACCTTGGGCCAACAGCTCCTCACTGTCATCTCCATTTGCATTTTCTAAGCTTCTGGCCACCTAAGAGATCTTACAACACAATGGAGTGGTCTGGGAAACCCCAAAATGAAGTCTCAGTATTACTCAGAGAGATGTGTGTTTGTTTGTGCAGCCATACAGAATTTGGCACACGTTGGGTAGCTCGATATGGTGACGCCAGCCAATGGTGCTCACGTAGAAGCTCAGTGATTACTCATCCCTTTGGGAGGACTGCTTTTTGAGTTACATTTTCTTCTTTCTCCTTTAGTGATACGGTCTGAAGTATCAAACTGAGTAAATATCATGAAATGTAAGATGTTTGACCAAAACTAGTTATCTATTCATTGACTATAGATTTAATTGAGCCACAGAAAGCCTAGATATGGTTCAATTTGGTTTAAATGCTGTAAAGTTTCCAATCCTTAAATGCAAGAGGTTTGGAAAAAAAAAAAAAAAAAAAGGAAAGAAAAATGCAACTATTACTGAGCAAAATAAAAGCTCTGTCTTCTAAATGCCTGTTTTGGTTTAACATAGTGGCTTGCTTTACTTTCAGATAAATTGTCATTGAAGCAAAACCAAGATATGAGAAATGTGAACTCCCTCTTTCAACACAACCCATTGTGTTCAAATTCATAAGCAAGAAAGTTAAGCGCCCACCTTCCTCTTTAAGGAAATATAAAAGTTGTTGCTTTGAAATAGAATTCACTGCATTCAGACTTTGAGTGATAACTGTATTCACATCCAACCGGATCTGCAGCCCCCTTTCAAAAAATTCTTTCTCCTCAGTGGTGAGAATTACCCCACCTGGGATTCACTCTTCAAAAGGCTCAAGAAGCCTATTCATATGAATGAAACTGCTTTCTTCAGGGCAGATGCGGAAGCTGCCCTCCAGAGGGCTTGGGCAACCCGAGGAAAGGAAATCACCTCTGTTGGCAGTGTGGCTGCTGAGACTGCCGGGGGCTGCTGCCTGCTGCCTCTCGTGCCTGTCCTCTCCAAGATGCAGTTTTTTGATGCTGAGGAGCTCCTGGTCGATGAAGAGGATGATGTTTTTGGTGAAGGTAAACGCATCTTTCTGGCAGGAGCCTCTCTGGCCTGCTTTGCTTTGTTTTGACACTACTGGACGCTTTTGCCCAGCTTGAGCAAGGACTTGAGTATTTTGAAATGATAAAAACGAAGCATTCCGAGTGAGATAGTAGCTGCAGATATCAACTTAGGCACTGAAGGAATACACAAGGCAAGGAGTGGGACAAGGGGTTGAGTCATTCCTGCAAATACATTTTTTAAAGACATTACTAAAATAAAGGTTTAGTTTAGGCTGGAAAATATTACTAAATTTTTTGCCTTGTCTCTCTTCTGTTCTATCTCTTGTCTAACACCTTAAGGAAAGCCTGTCACAGTGGTTTAAGCATAGCAGGGCTGCTAAGGTAGACGTTGAACAAATGGACCAGGAGTGGTTTTCCATGGTACCATGTTGCTTTGATTTGCACTTCTCTCTCCCTCCCTCCCTCCCTCCCTTCCTTCCTTCCTTCCTTCCTTCCTCCCTTCCTTCCTTCCTTCCTTTCTTTCTTTCTTTCTCTTTCTTTCTTTCTTTCTTTTTTCTCTCTCTCTCTCGGTCCTTCTCTCTTTTTTTTGTTTTTTGAGACAGAGTCTTGCTCTGTTGCCCAGGCTGGAGTGCAGTGGTGCAATCTCAGCTCACCGCAGCCTCAGTCTCCCGGGTTCTAGTCATTCTCCTGCCTCAGCCTCCCAAGTAACTGGGACTATAGGCGTCCACCACTGTGCCCAGCTAATTTTTGTATTTTTAGTAGAGACGGGATTTTGCCACGTTGGCCAGGCTGGTCTTGAACTCCTAACTTCAGGTGATCCACCCTCCTTGGTCTCCCAAAATGCTCGGATTACAGGCGTGAGCTACCATGCCCAGCCTGGGTCCTTCTCTCCTACTCTTTCTCACACGTACTTGGCACTCCAACCCTCCATTCCCTTTTCCCATTTTCTTTTTTCCCAAGTTGGGATACTGGAGCCCTGGTAGCTTCCAACCCCCATTGGCACTGCTCAGTTTTCTATTCTCCTCTCGCTGCTCTTCCATGACTTGACCTGTCCACTAGAATTTAACTTAAAGGTTGCGATTTTAAAGGGATGATCTAATTATGGACAGATGTTTTGTTCAAGTGCTGCCTATGAGATTGGGCCATAGGCAAAAGCTTTTCTAGAATTTGGAGCCGCCGAAATAAAGGAAATTTGGACTCAAGAATCTCATGAATTTGGTTACTTTCCTCAAGAAACTATGTCTAGTAATTTTTTTGAAAACTCTATTCAGTAATTTTTATAAAAGGAGCAGTAGTAAGGTTTTTGTGTATGTGTAATTACCCAAGCAATACAAGTTCGTTGAAGAAAAATTACAGTGTCACAAAGAATCCCTTGTAATCTAGTCATGTAGAATGTAATCATTGTTAATATTTTGATGTTGTCTTTCTGCTATGTTGTTCTAGCTACAGAAATATTTAAAATCATAAGTTGGGTTTTTATCACAACTTAAATCAGTTTGAAGAATATTTACTGAGCTTCGCTGCTGCTTACCAAATTATCATTCTGTTGCGTTACTTTGATGGCAGGTATTTAGAGCCACCAATACCTTGAAGTTTGATCTTAGGCCCCATTCTTCAGCTTTCACTTCTTAAAGATGTTTCCTCTTTAAGCAAACACCTTAAAGAGAAAATTTGTACTGAGATACTAACTCCTTTTAGGATCTGAAAAATGGTCACAACTGTGAAGATAAGCGTAGAATGGAAAAATTGGCAATCATTCACCCACACCTCCCTCCAGGAGTGGCATTCCAAAACGCCCAGCCCACATTTCTTTGCCTACAGGAATTTTGCTTTTTTACATCTGGCTATGATTCTTAAGAGCGCCCTCTATAGGCTGATGCCCTGCACTCTGGATTACGCGTGGCCCCGTTCTGAAGGGAAGCGTTAAGACCAAGCAGGGCTGGATGAACCTGTGTGTTCTCTCTCCTGAGCATTCATCATTTCCAAGGTGATTATTGTAACCTCAATAACCATGTTGTTGTGGAATGGCTGGGGTCCCCAGGTTCCAGGTAGCTAGGTAACCAGGTAGCTCTGAGGTGGGAAGTGAGGGAAGTAGTGCAGGTTGATGAGTTGGGAGTCAAACGAGATTCAGACTCAAATTCTGGTTCTGCCTTGTGGTACCCATACAAGCTAACTTTGGTCTCCTCAATGGTGAAGTGGGACAGTAATATCTATCAGCTATACAGACTGTCTTCATAGTAGATTCATAATATTTGCGTTGCACTTCAATGTGGTATGCTTTATCCTTTTCAAATTGATTATCTTATTTAACTTAATCCCTAAAGATTAAAGAGAAAATCATTGCAAGGCCAACATCCACTGTATTTTTATTCAGTTTTCAGAGCCGTGGCTCATGTTTGGCAATTTATGTGAAAGCATGTCCAGCTGGTGCCTCATTTTAAGCAAGCTCTGTGTGGGGTAACAGTCAAAAGCTTCAGCTCTGGAATTGCACAGTCTGGGCTTTGCCAACCAATTCACTTGTGACCTTAAGCAGGTTACCTAATGTCTCTGTGCCTCAGTTTACTCACTTATAAAATGGAGTCCAAACCTCATATGGCTGTATGTGGCTTAAGTGCTATGATAGGGAAAGCTTTTAGAATAGTGGTCAATACTCAATACATATTAATCCCTATTGTCTATTTACAAAAATGGGTTTATAGAATAGTGACCATTTTTCACATGTCTGGTTAACCTCAAATTCAAAATAGGACTTATTTACAGAACTTCAGTTTATAAATAACTTTTCAGAGGTTTAATATGGCAGACACAGCACTGAACAAGTTGTTAGGCATCTGAGTTGTAGCCTTGCCCCTTGCTGTGGTATAGCTGGAGGATCTTGGGCAAGTCATTTACCCTCTTTGAGCCTCATTCTTCATCTGAAACAAGGGGACTGATTACACATTCTCTAAGCATTATACTAGCCAGTCTTTACTTCAGAATGATGTATCTACCTATAAAAGTTCATGCTTGTTCTAGGATTCATGCATGCTTTCAGCTCCCTTAACATGCCTAAGCAGAAAGCTTTTGGTACAATGAGTTTTCTGTAACATTAAAAAAGGAAAATGCCCAGAAGCTTGTTATTAGGGCAACCACATTTCCTTGCAAGTGACACATTTTTAAAATCCCTTTCCCCCAGAGGTTACACAGATTTAGAATTTTGGTTCATTTGCTTAAAAGTATATATAAATTCATTTAGATATATGGACACTAAAAGATCTGGGAAGAAAAAAAATGAGTCAATGAGTCATGCTCACAATGCATTTTTTAAACAGCCTTTCTGAGATCCTGTTTGTTTCAGCAATTGTTTTTTGTGGTTAAAGGAAATGTTAAGGTTCACAGAACTTCGGAGCATTGGTGTGTAACTGCTCTTGTTCTAAAACAGGGTTGCATATAGCGAGAGAGAAAGAGAAAGAGAGACAGAGAGAAAGAAAAGGCATTCACCTACACACGACAAATCCCAATGTCTGTTCTCTCTCTGTCTCTCCCTGTCTGTTTCTTTTCTCTCTCTCTCTCTCTCTCTCTCTCTCTCGCATACACACACACACACACACACACACACACACAGCCTTAAGTTTGCTTTCCTAACAACATCGTCATGTCATTTAGAATACGGTTACTATCAAGTAGGCTTAATCTTTCCTGGAGAAATTATTCATTTGATTATCAAGGAATTGAAAAACCAGTTGTTAGCATTACAGACTCTTTTCCCATTGTTGTTTCATACTTATCAAATTAAACAACTTTCATCTGTTTTGTCACTGTGATCTTGACAGCCAGTCTGGTCAGTGTTAGTGGAAATAACTGGATGGGTAATAATGGTAATGACTATAAGAATGCTGCTGCTGCTGATGATGATGATGACAATGATGATGACGATGACAATGATGATGACAATTGAAAAAAGGAAAAAGGAAGGGCCATGCACAGTGTAGGTTCCTATCCTGCTTTCAAGAACAGAACAGAATTCATCTGTGGAAACAAACGACTCACCAGGTGGTGGTCAGTGAGTATTTTAGAAGCCAAAATTACTCCTTAGCACAAGTTAAAGCTCCAATTGCTTCTTTCCTTAGAAATGCGACCCGTCCCTGCCTCCATTTTCAGCACTGCTGAAAAGATTAGAATAATAAAACACCCCAACTTCATAGTAAGTGTGCGAAGTATTTCTCAGGTTCTTGTATTTCCTGGATACTTGCATGCCTTTTAGGATTATGCTTGAAGATGACAAGAAATTACAAATCATTTGTCAGATTTTCAAATGTCCCCCAGAGCTGACACAGTACAGCTGAGCATGAGAATACTTCTCCTGTCCTGGATAACTGTGTCTGAGAAAGTTGTTTCAACCTTCACAAAGGAGGGGAACTCTCCCAGATGGAGATGAACTGGCAAAAGGAAGTCCACTCAACCATTAGCTGCCCGTTGCCTTAAAGAGACTAACAGCTGCTTGGAAAAAAATTGCCACTCACTTATGAACCAAGCCTCCCTCCTTTCTCCAAGCCAAGTAAGTTAGCACTTTTTCCCTTTCAAAGGGAACTTCAGGTCAGAGGGATCAAGAAGACTACAAAACACTTACCAAAAAAAAAACAAAAACAAATTGTACATAGGATAAATACCTATTTTTTTTTTTTTGTCTTTCCATGTAGGCTGTTTACAAAACCAAGATAGTATTTTTCTTTTAATAGGTAAATAATTATGCAATCTGGTATAATCTGGAATATTTTGATATTGTTTCCTGAATTGTATTTGCCCCTTCCAAAATTAATAGAAAGAAGAAAGGGGAAAAAAGCAATTAAATAAATATTATGTACAAAACTAATAAATGCTGAAAGTTCAGATGGGTTAAGTCATACCCTCCGTGGAAAAAGTAAGAGAAATCAAATGTAAAAGTATATGAGCCTTGGCTAGAGAGGATTGGAGATTTTTGTGTGATTATGCCACATTTTATAACATGTAAATAAATACAAGCATTGCTATTTAAC